TCAAGCATGTGCAGTCGTATGGTTACTTAATTGTGGCTTGATGATATGTGGCTCGAGCGATATGTCGACTGTTCTTACAGTATTCATGCAGTATTCATCCCGACATCATTTTGCAGTCCGTATTCTTTCATATTTCGTATCGTAGTTTATTAGGTATTTCCTGGCTTGCACAAAGCAGGTGCGCATGCTAGAAGTTATAGGAAATGATTCAATGCCTTGCTTTCGCCCTTATTCCATAACGACATTGGCTGGTACTTTGAAGAAGCACGCGTTAAACGTCATAGTTAAAACGGAAAGGCAAAAGTTCCTTTGAAAATATCAAAGTAAGTTTGCAACCTCTAGGAAAAGGAAAAAACATAATTTGTCCTTAGCAAGGACAAGTTATTTCAGTGCTACAATAAGAAGCGTAAGTATGCTATCCTTGAAAATTGCAAATTCTTATTAATTCTTCTAAAAGATGAGGTGTATAAGCTCAGGTAAGGATTTAATAGTCGATTACCTAAAGATCTTCAACTGAGACAAAGAAGAAAAATTTTCTTCATAAATACATTCATTATTTTCTCATAAGGTACGTGAAGCTTTTCAAGTGTAAAACTTGATGACAAACGATATGAAATTGCATTTAAAGTACCCTACGCTTAAACGTTTCTGTTCTCGTTAATCCCTCAAAAATGACGAAAAAAGCAAATTTTTAAGCTAGAAAATGGTCAGTAGATTACAAAACCCTTTGCCATAACTAACTTAAGATGAATTGTTATCGTGTCAGCTGAGTTAATGACGATGTCTGCCATCTTCAAATCTTCGATTCTCTTGTTAGTTAGAATATCAAAAATTGTTCAGAGATGTCAAACTTTCATGTCGTATATGTCTAACGAAGGTGATGTAACGTACGTTATAAGTTCTTTTCGTTTTTTTTTTTTTTTTCTTATGACAGCTTTATGAAATCTAATCCAATATAAACTCTTCAAATCTCTTAGCCGCATCTTCTCTTCTTATTGGGAAATAAATACACTCTCGTATATGTCTTAAAATATTTAACATCAAACAAATCTTCAGTGCTCTACATATTATTATTCTTTTCTCCCTACGCGAGCCTGACGTATATCAAATTCTTTCATTCGTCTTGTCAGACTGAGAGAATACAAAGAGCCCAGTAAGGATACTTTTCGTTGAGCAATCTAAGGCCATTCAGGACTCACGATTTGTGTCTACGAGAATCCTCGAAATATCTTTATTGATATATTTGTGTGTAGCAAAAATGACTTCTATGAAATTTAATAATAAAATATATTCGCTCTACCACGATGTTAAGAGTAAAGAAAAACGAGTGCAAGAGAGAGGCAATGATATACAGAAATGTGGAAATTTCGTGAGATTACTTTTTCGTGCACTTCCCATGAAAAGACCACATTAGCGACTTGTAACTTACTTTTCTATCTTCTCTTAAGATATACGAAATTCGTTCTAAGGTAAAGATAGTTTTTTACTACTTTATGATAGCCAGCTGGCTGGATTCAATGCACACAATTCATGTAGGAATCCATTTGCAGAAATTATTACAACAAATTTTTCTCTGGTCGAAAAGTTTTCACAAAATTTAAAAATTTTTGCAAAAAACACGAAACGAAATCAACGCAAATCTTTGGGAATATTATCGCAATTTCGTTAGTAATTTAAGGTAAATGCCATTAAAGATGAAAGGCTTATATGGAGGGGAAGTGTTTGCGTTTTTTCATTTAACTTTGCATGAGTAGTCGAAAATAGACATTTTTTAGTCTGAGTACTTTCTACTGCATTTTCTTCATTTCTTCCTCTTTTTTAATGCATTCTTGTTTCGTAATGTATGCTTGGAAAATGACTTCAATTCGTTCTCAATGTGTTTGCTCTTTTTCCAGTTGATTTCAAAACAACAACAATAACAACAGCAGCAAGAATAACAGCAACAACCACAGCAATACAATCAGTTGAGCTTTTCGTAAAGGTATAGGTAAAGTGTTAAAATGAATATGTTTACTTGATCATTTGACTGCTTGCCTGACAAGCTGGCAACAGTTGTCCGTCTGTATAACATTTAGATACATATGCTTACCTATGAGCATCGCTCTTCGCATATGCATTTGTGTAGATTCGTTTGCTTTGTGTTTAATGTGTCTTGCGCTTAGCGTCTTGTGGATATTTTCAAGTTGCTTTTTATGAATTCTTAATGTGACAATTGATATGTATGCTGGTATGTGCAAAGTGCTCGACACAGAAGCCGAGAATAATGTTATTCGAAAATTACAGCAATTATTAGATAAGAGAAAATGAAAGTACACAACCAAAAGGAAAGCAATTTGAATTTCACAGAAACCAATTTTTTTAAAACATTTGTAAAATCAATGTAAAAAATGTTACACACGTATTAACAGACAACGACTAGAATAAAATAAATCTAAAAATATATTCTTTCTTAAAGTAGGACACTTGAGATAATATGGAACGAATTTATAACATAATATAGTATGAGTGATTGCATAAGAGGAAAGAAGAAGAAGACAGAATTACGGAGCAAGATATATGTTTTAAGTCATCATTACCTTAGCATCTGATTAATATGTAATTAATGCTTACAAAAAATTTGAACAAAGAAACCTATGGCGTATATTCAAGTAGTTAAGAATCAAGTCCGCATATCAATTTTCATGCCGCCATCTTATAATTACGCTTGATATAAAGCGATAGCTTTAGTGAATGCTTTGTCAGTAAAAGCTTATCGCGTACCAATCGGGCATACATCTGTCAGAGCTCAGCAACTCCTACCTGCCTACCTCTTTGCCTTTCCACTTCTCTTTAACCATCGCCTCATTACATGAATGACCTTGAATGACTGATCATTTAAGAAACAAATATCTACTGGTTCCGATTATGATTAGATTTGTTATATACTAAATTGTTGTTACTCAACAAAAAATCGATCAGTATTCATTTAACACTTCCGCCCTAAACGAAAACCTCAACTGTACTATTTTACGCTAAAGTATCATGAATACATTGAAAAGGTGCTTCCTAGTGACATAGTACTAAACTTTGGTGCTAACAAGACTAATTAGGCTAAAGACTTGATTATAATAAATTGTTTCGAAGATCAAACAATATTAACTTAACTCTAAAACTAAACTCTTAACTAAACTCTTAAAAGCTGAATTTTTCGTGCGAAAGACTAAGCAAGTCCATTCAAAATAACAAAGGGCTAAATCTTTAGCAAAATTATCAAACGATATTGTGTTAGTAAAAAAATCATCATCTAGTACGGATCAATTAAACAAAAAGACAGACCGTCTTGGTGTTGAACTAAGCCTTTAAAAGGAAAGTCAAGTAGTTTTAGTTCAACACTGGCACCTTAACCCCAATATCAGTTGTAGGAATATTAATTGGCCGCTACATTCGGATTTTGGGAGCTAAGATATTAAATGATAAATTTTCTTCGGAATTAAGAAATTTAAAATTATCTCTCATGGCAATTTCATTTTTAGCGTCCTGACACTTTAATTTAAAATTTCTTACATTTATTGTATTTCTTGCTTATTTTGGTCAATTTTTCTTCTCAACTACAGAAGGAATAGATGTGCAAGGAATGTATAAAAATATCAAGAATTTTCACAAATTCATGAAATTAAATCTCTGTTGTATTGAATCCGTAGACAGATATATGTATGCAAGTGAATCCAATTTGCCGAAAAGGAATATACTTAAAAATTTATTAAAATTTCATTTATGGGCTCAAACAGAGAGATCACTGTTTTTCTCTGTGCACGCTTTTTATTTTTGATTCAATTGGTTAGTGCATGAAAAAAATGGTTAATATCATGGTGTGTAACTCTTTATAGAATAGCACCGTGAAAAAAAATGAAAGATTCAGTAACAAAATGCGAATTTTGTAATGCACTGCACTATCACCTATTAAATGCATACGTAATAACGACACCTGTTTTCAAAAATCATGCACAACGAAATATGAATTAAACAAGAGGAAAAATTACAGTCGGGTCAGATCGATTATTAAATACCTTACATCGCATGGTCTAACAATGCTTATTTTTGCTATTCCACGTAAAAACTGTACTCTCTTTTTATATGCATTTACAATCGAGGAGCTTTATATTAAAAATTAGATCACTTCACAAATAAAGACTTACTTTCCGTAAGAATGGTTGGATGGCCCAGGAGGTTTAAAAATTGGGATACATATTTAAAATTAAGCATAGTTAATTTTTATATCAAACTGCTATGGATAAATTTTCATCATAAAATACTTCTGGCATCAAAAACAATAAGTTTCGTGCAAACGATTATATAAGATATGACCTAAAAAAAGTAGGCATACGTCATCCAAATTTTGTAGCGTTAATTTTGTATATCAAATTATGATTGCGAATCAACTTTTATCGTAACACATTACAACTTAAACTTTTCTGCCCTAAAAAAAAAAAGTTTTCGTAAAAATCTATCTTCTATAGAGTAGGTTCCAAAAATTGGCGTTTATGATTCAAATTTGATACAATGAATTTTTTTTATCTTAAATTACTGTTATGGCTTAAGTTTCATCATAACATATTAAAACTTAGACGTTTCTGCCTTACATAGGATCAATTTTCGTAGAAATCTAAATATATAGGGTAGGATCCAAAAAATATGCTGAGTTGGCCCAAATTTGGTACCGTTAATTTTTTTATCTTAAATTACTATTCTGATCTGATTTTCATGATGAAGCTCTAAAAATTAGATCTTTTTCCCATATGTACTTCGGCTTTCATTGTAAGAGACAAAATTCAAAATAATGCCCAAAGTGGTCTAAAGTTTTCACACCAATTTAAAATGACGAAATACTATTAATTAAACACTTTCGTCAAGAAATTTTGAAAATTGGAATTGCTTTCATATAACGAATTTTTCCAAATAAGTTGTTATACGGGAAGTGGTCGAGAAACTGAACCGATTCAAATCATTTTCAATAGCGTTCATCCTTCAATCAAAGCACGTCGGTGTACCAAATTTCATCAAAAATATTTGAAAAATTGCGACCTGTAGCTTGAACACATAATCACATGCACACACGAACAGACAAGAGTTAGATCGATGAGAAAATGATTCCAAATCGATAGGTACAATAAAAGTTGGTTCTGCGCGTTAAATGCGTCCATATAAACCTAATAAAAAGCCTGTACCACAAATGGTCTAGAACAACAGAAAAAGGCTTCAATCCAAAGAATTGTCATCTGTCCAAGATAAGCAAGAATTAATGGGTGTAAAGCACTCAAAGAATAGTCTAGAACTGGCTCATAATAAGCGCTCAAAAAATACACCCTCAGTACCCTTTAGTATCGCAGCCGATCCGTCATGAGAAGTGACACCTATAACATCTTAGGCGACATACCGTACCCATAAAATTGCCTTCGGGAAATTTGTTCACCTTTCTTTGCGAATAACATCAAATGTCTCGCTTCCATGAAAATAATCCGCAATTTCAATTAAAATGAATTTTTTTTCTACTGTCGCTTCCCTGTAACGTAGTAACATTTGAGATTTTCGACAAAAAGGTTTATATTGAAAATATATAATAAATCATTTCTTTTCAAGCAAAGAGGACGAACGTATAAATTGGACCGGTTGTTAAAGAGCGAAAGATTTTATGATGTCTCTGGGTCGTGTTTTAATATATGGCGGTAAAGGAGCCTTGGGAGCGGCGTGTGTTTCGCACTTTAAAGAAAACAATTTTTGGGTGAGCAGCGTCGATTTTAATAACAATGAGCAAGCCGATGCTGGCATTCTTGTCTCGCGCAATGCCTCATGGATCGAACAAGAGGAGGACGTTCTTAAAAAAGTTGGCGCTGCCTTAGGAGATAATAAATTAGATGCTGTTATATGCGTCGCAGGCGGTTGGGCGGGCGGCAATGCTAAAACTGGTTTGGCTAAGATGGCCGATACGATGTGGCGTCAGAGCGTGTGGACTTCTACAATTTCGGCGACTATTGCTGCTAATCATCTCAAGCCTGAGGGTTTGCTTGCTTTAACGGGTGCTAAACTTGCTTTAGAAGGTACACCCGACATGATTGGTTACGGCTTAGCCAAGGCTGGCGTACACCAACTCACGCGTTCATTGGCGGCTAAAAATTCTGGTATACCTGATGATGCTGTTGTTGTTTCTATATTACCGATTACTTTGGACACTCCTACGAACCGCAAAATCATGCCAAATGCAGATTTTAGTTCATGGACTCCACTTAAGGAAATAGCAACGTACTTTCATCAGTGGACTAAACAAGAAGAACGCCCCAAAAGTGGCTCTCTCCTACAAGTTGTCACCGAAAATGGCTCCACTTATCTAAGTGAATTTTAGGCTTTTTCTCTAATAATATCAAATGAATATCATCGAACCTAATAAAATCTTTAAACGAAATTTTGTACAGATATTTTTCAAATTTCATCTAAATAGTGATTCTTGAGAAGACCTAACATTTTTTTGCCAATTACAAATTATTTTTTGCCATTTTAGAAAATTAGAGCAAGAAAAGGTCTCACATATAAATGGAGAAAATCGGCAGATTCTACGAGTTACGGATCATGGAAAAGAAACACTTTAAATCGAGCGCTTTACGCACGGCGAAAAGGGGTTTGAAAGAGTGAAACAAGGCGGTTTCCTAATACTGTCTCCTTCAGGATTGACCCAAATTTCATATTTGCTTAATTAATGAACACTCGTTGCCTACTCATGGATACTCACAACTTACGATCAGCTTGAGTAAAAGTTATGTTCAGATTTATCAGTGGTATTCAGAGAAGTTTTTAAGGCCTATAGAGAAGCTTTCAGCTAAGCTACTGTGAAATAGTTATATGGGAAATTAATTTAGTGATTTAGTGAAAAGATTTCTCTTAACAAAATTGCATATTTAAACATGAAGTTTTCAAACCAACTGTCCAACTTCCCTCTGGATGGCTGCCGTTCATGAAAAAAATGTGCGCTTGTCACCACAAGCTTACTTTTGAAAAAGGCTCTTACATATATATATATATATATATATATATATATATATGCATACATAAATGTATGGATGCAGTTATACGTATATATATATACACACATCTGTCTGATATATATCTGATATATATCTATACACATCAGTTTCTCGTATATTTTTGTCCGTTATCGTCTTAGTATTTTAAGCTTTTCGGGGAAGTGTAACAACATGAGGTTGGAAGTCCCCTGCTTTTACTGGCAACTGGTTTGCCTGCTACACCAATCATGATCGCTATGTCGGCCTTTAATTGAATGAGTGTCGCTTAAGGGCATTTATCCTACTGCTATCCATCTCTAAAACTAAACGAACTAAAAAAATAAAATTTAATCACTTGTAACTTTGTGTGTGCATGGGAAATTTTTTCGAATTTTTCCACGCAAAGAGTAGTGTCTTTCGTAAAGAAAATGTGGAAAATATCAGCCTTCTAACTTTTATACTTTCTAAATAACGAACAAAAACCCACAAATGTTTGTTAAGAAAAATGGGGTTGAGACCAGTTTAGGCTCCACTGCGAGCTTCCGCTCCGACGAACTTTGATCTTTTTTTTAATACTCAGCTGCGTGCAAAAACATCTATATAAATATATACTTCGTAGGATTTCTGAAACTTCCTTTACGAAAAAAAAAAATCATGCTTCAGAGCTGGGTTCTCCCCAACTAAATGATTTGATGTCAGGGAGGTGTGAAAGGGAATACTACTTATTGAACAACTTTCTCTCGCTCTCTCTCTCTCTCTCGATCGATTTTTATCAACTTCATCATATAGGCAGAGAATGCACATCTTTCGCCAAGTCATTCCACCATAGCCTATCAGGTCAATGATTTTGCACTACAATCACGTCTGCCGTAATTTACATATATATATTTTTTTTTCTTTTCAGTTTCAGTTTAGATTAAACTTATTTTTTAAAGTACATACAGTTACAATCCGAGAGAAATTTTGATAGATATAAAAGTTAGATATGTAACGACATCGCAAAGAGGAAAGGAATGGGAATCGAAAATAGTCCTATATATGAAAAGATTTTTAAGGTAGGTTCACTCATAATTACAATTTTCTTATAAAGGCTTAGATGGTTAGATTGCAAAGTATTCACACAAGCACTGCACGTGCTCCCGTACTCTTTAGATAGAGGTGTTAACAGGTCGCAAACAGACAGATAGATATTTCAATCGGAGTTCGGTAACATTTCTGCAAGTATGTCCTTAAGTGATTTTGGTATTTTGTGGGGAAACTTGATATCGAACGAAACCACTAAGTCACCGCGACGATGGGGCTCTTTGTGGAATGGTAAACCTCGACCATTTATCCGCTTGACTGTATTCGGTGTTATTACTTCGCTATACAAACTCAATGTGATCTTATCGCCTTGCAATGTTGGTACTTTAACGGTTGTTCCGCATAATGCCTGCTTTAAACTGATCTTGGCAGTATACCTATAGTCAGTGCCTTCACGTTTAAATATTGGATGAGGTCTATCTTTGATGATGAAAACAATATCCGCGGGTATCTTTCCAGGAATTTCGTCTCCCTCTTTTTGGAAAGTTATTTTAGTTCCCGATTTCCAGCCCGGCTTGACGTTAATGTTTAATATCTTCTCATCCTTGCGGGGCCGGCCACTTGCCATTGACATTCGCGAGATTTTCATGTTCTTCACGCAACCCTTATCGATTTCTTCGAGAGAGACGTACAAATCGTATTCGATGGGGGGATCTTGTTGCTGCCGTCTACGATTTGGTTTACTTTGAGCAGACCGTGAGCGAAATGGACCACCAGAGCTGCCCATTTGAGCGAAAAGATCATCGGCAGTCATGAATATAGTCGGCTGTTCGAACATCTGACTGAAATCTTCTGCACCAAAGAATATACCAAAAGGATTGGAATTTCCGAAGAATTGTGCGAAAGTGGCACGCGGGTCCCCATGATAAGTGTAGCTACCATTCGATTCGCCCGCCGTTCCCGGCACACCACCCTTAAGCCCTTCTTCGCCGAATTGATCATAAATATCGCGTTTCCTCTTATCGGATAATACTTCATACGCTTCCGCAATCTGCTTAAAACGTTCCTCAGCCTGTGGCGTTTTATTTTTATCCGGATGATATCTCAATGCTAGCTTTCGATACGCTTTCTTGATCTCATCATCGTTGGCATCCTTACCTATGCCCAGAATTTCATAAAAATCTTTACCCATAGTATTTCTAGGCGCTATTAAATTCCAAATCACTTTCACGACACAAAATTTCTGCTGATTTCTGGATAATCTTCGTGCAACTTTTCAAAATTTTCATATACATCTGATGACCGATTTTTTTTTTAAATATCTATTTTTTCTCCTCTCACTTTAAGAATTTGCTTGGAAAATTCATTTCCATAATTTTGTTTATTTTTTTTATTTATTTTATTTTTTTTTTGTTGTTGTTGTTTCCTCGTTTCAAAGTAGATTCGTCAATATGTCGAAAAAAAAATTATCCGTAAGCAATAACGTAAACTCTGTTTTCTCTTTGTCGCTCTTTGGCAGCAATCCGCACTTTATTTTAAGAAAGCTCCAGGCTCCTATTTCCAGCAGCCCATTATCACAACTTTTAAAATTGTGAACGCGACAAGTAAAACACAGATCTCGCTTAGTTTCTTGTATCTTAAAACTCATTTCAATGTGAAATACAGATCTCTATTCCTTTCAACTTAGTGCTCTATTGCAAACAGAATGGGTATTGCGACAAGTTATATCCTCGTTGCGAACTTGCTTTTGTAAAGATGGCGCGCTAGCTCTTGGCTAGAGTCAAATCCATTCAAAATACTCGCCTTATTTAGGTGAAAGAGTTGATCGCACTAAAACGACCTTCTCGCGAATTTGAGTACAAATAAGAATAACATGAAACCGTTTGAAGTGCCATCCCCATTCCGAATAACAATTCGATGCGCAATCACATTGCGATCTTCCTAACTTCCTCATAGTAGTTTGCGCTAGAGAGTTTCTTATTCAACGGTACGTAGATACCCCACGCCCTCAAACCGAGCTGTCGTATCTCGCTTCAAGCAATTGACTTTGCAGCAGTAGTGTATGTGTAACGATATATTTATGGCTAAGCAACAGTGTTTTATGCGTTTTGCTGCCCTGGGGTTTCCCATTTTGGGGTTCCAATACATTGTTTGAATCTTGCCTTCATTTGCAGAATATAAAATCATTTAAATGTCCTTCACGAATCACTTTACAAGCCTGGATCCTTTTGAAATAATTTTCGATGGCTTGTACGCACATAACGCGCAATAACTCGGCCATAGCATGACAGATGTTTGTTTTCAAAGCACCAATGGCTTGAGGGTCGTGTAATTGCTCGCGTAGCAATGCCAAAACGACACGCGTTGCATGGCATCGTCCTTCTGATATACGCATATCTTCACCATGTATATCTGCAATTTTATGCGAAACACAATGGTAATCAAGCGACTGTAGCGATCAGATTTTGCGATCTGAGTTACATTACACACAAACGACTGCGAGCCAATCCCAATTCCAGACCAAATGCCACACAATACATTGATGTTTTTGGGGATGCAACAGCATTTCATTTGCAGATTTTCGCTGCACGACGATGCGACGATTTTCTTGTTGCCACATTCCCAAAGCAAAAAATGAGGTTCACCATTGAAGAAAATTAGAAAAGATCGTCATTCAAACGCTGTTGTTCGAGCACCCAATCAACAACATATCTTCTATGCATTGCATGTTTAGCCAGCTTTGGGTCTTGCGTTAATTGAATTTTGTTAGGTTGGAAATGAAAATCCGACCAGAGTCGACCATGTATCATGCTCGTAATGCACGATACATACCTATAGCAGAATCAGCCGTTTGATAGCAATTTTCTACTATCTAAAGCTTAAATACGTAGCGATGTAATTGCGATTGTATGTTTAAAAACTCATATCCTTTTATGTAGCAAATTTTGCATAGTGTTTTTTTTTTTAGTTTTACACTTAAATGCCAAATGCTTGTTGCCAATTTTATTTAATTTCTAATTTTTTTACTTCAATTTGTTTAAAAACTTGATTTGAAATTTGAGATAAATTGGAATGTAGACAATTGGCAACAGTATGCATTTAATGGTTAATGTGTTCGAAAGATGTTAAACGATTCATATTGTAAAATGGCAAACAATGCCGTTAACCCATGATGCCCTGGATGACAGTTCGGTTTTGCATATGTTATTAAAACAGGGTTGGCAAAACCGTACCACGAAATGGATAAACCTATATTTATAAAGTAGGATGCCTATATTTCCTGCCCCTATTAGGCTTACATTCTTCTATTTGCTAACAATCAAGCGATAGATATCAAAAGATTTTTTCCAGGATGAACATAATTTCCTTTTTTTTTTTCTTAACTAATTGAAATTCATAGCAACAAAATGGTTTTCTAAAATAGTATGTAAAAAGCCAAAAACCAACATTGAAAGCTTAACGATAAAAAGTATGTGAAATAAGTGTTGTCATTACAGCTATCGGATGGAAGGATATACAGGATGTATTACAAGCATTAAGCTTCTGAGAAATCTTCGTAACATTTATCTTTACTTTCGAAAACAAATGCGTTTACAACGTGCGCAGTATTGTTTATTGATTATTTCGTATAAAAAGTAAATGATTTCTGGCATAGTTCATACGCATGAGTGCACTCAAGGCAAGGTATTCGAAAAGCTGCATTGTCTGGCAAATATTTAAGACAGACAAGAAAACCTAATTATCTGAAAGCAGTGAACCAATAACGCACAAGAATTATCCGAATTTTCCCGTGCAAACTTCAGAGCAACTTTAAAGAACATTAGGACCGACACAAATTACACGGATTATGAAAGATACCTTTCCCTTGTTTTGAGGACAAAGCGTACGCTAAAGAGTCTTTATTGAAACTTAATCTATTAAAGCATTCACTCTATGCTTTCTGTCCGGATAACCAAAAAAAAAACTGAAAAAATCATGGCGACCATAAAAGAATAAATACTTTGCCGACTTTATTGGGCCGTATCATTTGAAAGATGGAAATCATTCACCGAACAAATTTGAATAAATTATGTAACGCTTAAAAGATACTCTTTACCGTAACCCTATTAAGCATATAAGTCCAAACATATACTATTACGACTATTGCGTAATGTATACGCAATTATACGGGTATCGATGCATCCTTCGCAAGTTTCACTTTTCAATCCGAACGCGAATTTCTGTGAATTTCTCTTTCATCAAATCAAGAATTCAGCGGATGCTGCAAAAAATGTATGAACATCTTCTTGCACTTGTTTGCTTTGTATGCCAACGTTCCGATTGTGTTACTGTATAGCAATTGTCTAAAAAATTCAAACCAAATTGTTATGCGGCTTGAATGGTATTATTGGCTAATTTTCAATGAATAAATGTACGTAAGTAAGTGTTTTTTTGGTTTGCCTGTAGAACGTTCTCTCTCTTTATCTGCTTTTCCATAAAATCTGAATGCATTTAGAGAATGAATTGTGTCTATGTAGTACGTATTTGTGTGTGTGTGTGTGTGTGTGTGTGTGTGGTTGTATGTAAATTACGAATTGTGCACTTGTGGCAAATTAAAAATAAAATTACAACAATTAATTAAATTACTAACATGCCATTAAACACTTTGGGGATTCTACGGATGCTATTGTGAAAAAAAAGAGAAAAAAACAAAAAAAAAAAAAAACAAGAATTTGTAAGAAAAAATAGAAAAACAAAAAAGTGCATAGAAATGCATACATATTTCACGTGACTATAGCAACAGCAATGTATACTGGCGGCGGCAACAAAGTAAGCAACAGCATTTTGTGGGTAAATAGAACGCAATGTACTTTACTTTAGTCTGCTTTAGTTGCTTAGCAGCTGTTGATGGTCTAAATGTGCAATACTTGATATTGCTGTTGATGTTTTTGCAACATAATTAATGAAAAATTATCCCAAGTGGTAAACAAAAGCTTTAACTATTTTATATATACACACACACACACACACACACAGAGAGAGAGAGAGAGAGAGAGAGAGATAGAGAGAAACATTTACTAAAGGACATGCACGCATAGCACGACAACGGTTTATTATAAGCATGGACCATAACTACTAGTTGTTGTCGGTATACGATATGACGATATGCAATTAATTTTTAAAGTAATTGCTTTTCGTTCACATGAAACATTTAAAGCAAGCCAAAAACCAACAAACCATTCATGCACTCATATATATATGTATATATATATATATATATAGATAGATAGATAGAGTTACATAATAGCAGAAGTTAGTTATCTTTGATTGTAAATCTTGTTATTACTCTTTTCTCAATAATTTAGTCTATGGCTTGCAGCCTTTGTTAAACTCTCGTTTATAGTTACAACAAATAATCATATAATGATCGTTTCCTATTCTATTTATTCTTATTTACTATTATTTGCTCTGTCTGTTCTGTATGCCATGGTAACATATTTGTGCGTTAAAAGCCTTTTAAAGTCCTCTGCACATATTGTTGGAGAAAACTATGCTGACGGTACTACAACACATTACATCGAATTTGTAGATAATCCTGATGAATATCTCAGTCAGACTTTTGTCGAAATATCCCCAGACAACACACAATAAGGGCTTGATAAACGTAAGGAAAAACTGTTACCTTGTTGTTGTTATTATTGTTGTTGTTGTTGTTGATGATGATGATGATGATGTTTGTTGGCAGATCACGTATTGTGAATTGTAAGCGGGGAGGATTGAATCTCAACTACCTTAATTTTAGCGAGTATGGCAATGCTTGGGAAGAAGTACAAATATATATATAATATATATATGTATATTCGTGCACGTATCTCAAAAATTAGAATACAAGTAAAAAGAAAAGAAAGAACGAACGTGTAAAAGCCTTTGCATATAAATAAAACTCAATGATGTTGCTCTTGTTCAAAACATGACATTGACTTGATATTTCTAGGATTGGAAAACTACTCGTAACTGATAGAGTGAAGACGAGTACTAATCATCAAATTAATATTTCTATAGCCCTGCTACGGTTAACGATATCGACTGCGTATCTGTTTCGACACATATCGCACAATAGTATCCGCTTTGTAAGTTTATATAGGTCGAGTGTTGTCGGAAGGTGAAAAATTGTTTCAATCCAGGCATAAGCAACATTTTATTTGTACTCTGGCCGGCGTATGAATAACAATAACGCAAATGCAAATGCAAATAAATGCAAAGAACAGGAAAAAGTTGAATAATTAAATTAGTTTTATAATAATTAGTTTAGTAGTTAAATAAACTGCAGGAACTAAGTGCATTTAAAAGTTTAACTTATCTATGCAAATACTGTAAAATAATTTTGAAAAAATTATTCAAAACATCCAAAGAAAGTTATTAGGGGTAATACTACTCAGCCACTTTCCTTACCGTTAGTAAGTTTGTGCAGAATTTTCATTTAATTTAATATTCGTTATATATAATAAAATGTTTATATGATTGTATGTATGTTAAGTAATCACGTCATCGGCCCACTATTATATAAACACTCTACACAACGTTGCACTTATTCATATAACAACTTCTCAAAATCAAACGTTATATGGAAAATGATTGTAAAAATGATCCGATCGGAACCATTTTCAATAGCTCTCGTCGTTGGACCAAAACAAGCTAGTGTAATGACTTAAAAATTTGCGGCCAATTGAACACAAGAAAACAAGATAGACAGAGGGACAGAGAGTAAAGAAGTCTAAATCGATTGCTTGTCTCTCTCAAGTCCTTTTGAATACATCCGCACTAGTACACGCTTGCATCGCAAGTGTAGGGCCTAATTAGGTTTGCTTTCATTCTTATTTATGTCTCCGCTCATATTCCTATGGTTTTTCTTTCAATGCAGTTTACGCTCAAACGCGCCAATTGTAGACCAATTATAGATGTACTGAAGGCCTCATTCAATGTTAGCAGCTCGTTGCAAGCTAAAAACACCCCTCATGATCCCCAATGCTAATGATATTAATGCAACGTTAGGCTTAACCCATCCTTGCTCCTTGCTCTGCGAGTTGTCGCAATGAAACCACTTTTAGGCAACATTTACGCTTCAGTCTAATTCTCATAACAATGCAATTTCTTTGTTTCTCGATCATTCCCATGTCTTTGAGAAGTAACGAAATGGCTTGCTGACTCACTACCAAAGATTCTATGGCCATCAATTCGTATATAAAAATAAAGCTTGCCGCAAATTGTGGGTCTTGTTGAACAGAAACGTTAGCGTAACTCACAGTTTAACAGAACTCTGTTGTTTACATTACAATAAATTAAGCCGATCGCACCGTAATACGAACACAGTTAGATTAAGATGCAATAAGCACGTGCCCTCTATTGGATCTTGAGTAGAGAAAACCATACAATACTCGTATAATGATTTCTGTCAGCTCTTCTGACACTGTCCAATTGCAAGCGATCATTCGTTTTTTTATGTATCTTTCTATTAAGCAACCTAGTAGCCTCAATGCGTCATATATTTATCACTAAAATAAGTGATGGCTCCATCTCTTGTAATGCCCCGTAACACCCATAATATACTTCTTCTTGATCGTCAATCAAGCCGTTCACGTTCCTAACGGCCTAAATTTAATATTATGGGAAACTAAAACTTAGCAAACAGATATCTATTTAATGGCAGCAGAATAAATTTGAAAACGTGCTCTCGAGCATAAGTTACACTCAATGATAGATTTTCGATGCAAGCGTTAATTAATTAATGCTTAAGCGTTAAAAATTATAGTCTGTATCTGAATTAAAGATATTCAAGCGAGAATATGATGCAGTAAATAGTCGGAATCGATCGAAAATGTTCACTTGCAACATAAAGTGTTCACATCTCTTGCATGTTTTCACTGCCTTTTCTTGCTCTCTTCTCAACGTCGAGTGAAAGAAAAAAAATGGAACGAAACACATTCT